TTCAGGCTTTATCCACACCAGTGGAAACCTAGAACCCCGACAAGCTCCGAAACGGCAGAAGCAGCAGGTCAAACTGCACGCAAGCAACAACAAGACTAAAGACCAGACACACAGCAATGGTCGAACCCATAATATTCTCGCACAGCCCCGAGACAATCACAGTTTACATATACCTCAAGCCTACTCTTTTTCGCAAAAGCTCCCAGGTCACAGTAGCACTTATGACAGTAGCAGCTATGGCCGTTCTCATCACCATCTTTGCCCTTCCTGTCGCTGTGTCGTAAACATTTCTCTGCAGCTAGTGTAGAGGTCGGAATGCTTAGAAAATTGAAAATCGTATCCCTTCGTGTGATCATACTTGAATATGCCNNCCCCCCCCCCCCCCCCCCCGCCAACGCCCATACAAGTATGTTAAGAACCATCGAGCCCTCGTCGACCTCGCCTCCTGCACCCACATCACCCTTCCCAACCCTCCTCTAACCCCGTGCGAACCTGGAGGACGAAGAACCTGCACAAGACTCGGGCGTCTGGCTTCGGCGAGGTCGCCGGATGTGCGGGAGAAATTATATGGGGTAGGGATGTCAGAACTTAGGACACATGTTTTGATGACCGTGTAAGACCAGCATTGCAGAGCATCGGTAAAGACAGGGGGGACCCAAGCTCCTGTGATCAAACCCTATACTTCACATGGACCCGAATCACATCCTTTCGTGGGGTTATGCTGCGCCACCAGCAGGGTTCAAAAACCTTCAGCACCATCGTGCGATTCGCAAAGGCGGCTTGATCGTGGAATTCATTGTTCTTTTCGGGCCTTGAAACTATAGGGATCTTAAGACTTAAGAGCTCGCAACAGTACCCCCCCTTATAGTCTTCATAATTAATACACTTATGGTACGATATACTCCTAAGCCCTCTTCTCATTCTCAGGGCCCCTCGACTATGTGGATTTCAGCACTGCTGCTTCAGCTCTTCAATTCGTTTCTCTCGCGTTTTTTTCGTTCAGAGACGCGACGACTTGAGCATCATCGTCCTCACTGCCCTAAACCCTAAACCCCTA